ACCCAAAACCCCAAAACCCCAAAACCCCAAAACCCCAATTTTAAATAATTTATTTGAACACTAGGATTTATCAAATTAAGTTTGTCAAGATATTATGGAATCCAACGAAAATTTTTATTCGTACTACGATTATGATCAAGATCAGGATGCCTCGAATGATCAAAATAAAGACCCAGGGGCCAATCAATACGACTATGCAGAAGGAGGCAGTTACGACAATTATTATGGTAAATATTTCATTATTTTATTAGTAATTTTGTGAAAAGATGTATAAATCTTGCATAGGGCAACAAAATGAAGCTGGAGCCATCCCGACAATGACTGCGTCTACAGGAGCACCCAAGGATCCTTACGAGCCGGAATATGAAGAATCTAAAAGTGAGAAGCTCAAAAAGCTCCAAAAGAATAGGTTTCAGTCAGTCATGCCAGGTATGGAAGAAATAAATGACGGAATGAGAAATATGAATATCGTAGATAACAGCAACCAAACTATGGATATGGCCCAAGTGCCTCGAGATATGTATATGGGCCCTAGCACTATGGATCCATCATCAAGGGGAGGTATTATACCATCATCTGGCTCTGATTCTTCTCTTTTAAAGCCAAAAGTATTTCTGAATGAGGAAAGTGTACGTAGGGGAGTGATGATGCAGTATCGTACTGATAAGATGGAATTGCCTCCTTCGTCAACAATGCCATTTTCAGTATCTGATCAAGGGATTTGTAGTCCAAAGTTGATGAGACCTACAATGTATAGAATTCCAAATTCTTCAACTTTGCACCAATCCTCAAAAATCCCAATGGGATTGATTGTACAACCAATGGCAGATATTGGGGAAGGAGAAAGCGAAATCCCAATAGCTGAATGAGGAATAGAAGGACCAGTGAGATGTACTGCATGAGGTGGATATGTCAACCCTGGTACCCAGTTCTTGGAAAATTGAGCGAGCGCAAGATGCAACTTCTGAGGTTCAATATTCCCTGTCTCAGATACTAAATACGGATTTGCAAATGATCCATCATCTTTTCCAGAATTATCTTATGGAGCATATGAATTTTCAGTCTCAGGTAAATATGTATATTATGAAGCGAGAAATCCTGTCTATGTATTTATCCTAGATGTTTCAAATGAGACTTTTGCTAACACATTATTTGCTTCGACTATAAGTTGAATACAAGCAGCTCTTGATTCAATGCCAAATCCAGAAAACACCCAGATTTGTATTCTCACTGTTGATGAGTATGTTCACTGTTATACTTTGTCTGATGATCTTGAAAGAGGGCCTACAATTCATCAGATTAGTGATAAAGCAGATCCATTCCTTCCTGTTCCTTTCGATAATCTGATGTTAAATCTTTCTCAAGACAGAGGAAAGATAGATCATTTATTGACAAAGCTTCTTGAGATTCATACTGAAGAGGGAAGTAAATTTAAACCACCAGCTTTTAACCTCAGTTCTGCTTTCCTGATTGCTTATGAGCTACTTGAAAAGACTGGTGGGAGGATCCTTGCCTTCTACTCTAGGATCGAGAATGTAGGTCCGGGAATCAATGTAGTGCTAGATAATCACAAAGGCTATAATACTGATGCTGAAAAGAACTTTTTCAAAGCAAATATGGGATTTTACCGAGATCTTGCAGTTAAAATGTTCAAGAGAAGAATCACTGTTGATATTTTTGCTGGCACATATCATAATTTGAACCTTCCTAATCCATCTCAGTTGTGCTTGAAAACTGGTGGAGACTTATACTTCTACAAAAATTTTTGAGAAAGATTTAATTATGAGAAACTCCATTATGAAATTTTCCGGATTCTTACTCGAAATGGAGCATACGACTGTGCATTCAGAGTCAGGTGTAGTGAAGGATATGCTCCAATCGCTTATATTGGTAACTTTGGAAGAGTAAATTCTATTGACTTTGAGCTTCCTTCCATTGATTCTGATAAAACAATAGGAGTTGTAATGAGAAGTGAGGGAAAATTGAACTCAGATAGATTCTCAGCACAAGCTGCAATGTTATATTCTACTCCTGATGGAGATAGAAAGTTGAGAATTATCAATCTTATTCTCCCTGTTGCTGATAAATTATCAAATGTACTGAGATATGTAGACCAAGAGGCACTCACACATTGCTTCATAAAAGAAAGTCTCAGCTTTATGGGGCATAAGAAAGTTGTAGAAATTAAAGAATTTATTACCCATAATTTAGTAAAAGCTCTGAGCTCAGAGAATTTTAGCTGCTGACCCCTATATGTTCTTGGAGCTCTCAAGAATCCTGCCTTTAAACTTTTAGGAGAGATAAAGGTTGATGAAAAGTATGCATGGGCTCTGAAACTTCTTGGTTGTTCAACACAAAGATTGTTAAAACTTATATGTCCCCGTGTATATTACCTCTCTGATATCGAAACAAATCTTGTCTATGGATATCCAGATGAAGAGACTGGAAAGATCATGAAACCTCTAGTATGTGACAATACATATACCAATATGAGTTCGAGCGATCTCTGAATAATTGATAATGGAGACTTTCTCTATGTCTATGTTGGCAAAGCTCTGAGTTCAACTCTCATTTATGACATTTTTGGATATGAGGACTGGGGCACACTCCATCATTACGGAGTCACTAATTTAGATCACCCAATGGACACAGATGCTTATACTCGAATTATTAACATTACAGAGCAGATAAGAAGTGAGAATGATGGAGCATATCAACCAATTCAAGTAGTTCTCCAAGATTCAGTAAGGTTTAAAGAGCTCCAAACTTATGCATTGATAGAGGATTCATTGAACAAAAACAGAGATTTTACATATGCCTCATTTGTAGATCATTGAAATAAGCTAATTAGAAAATTGTAAGAAAATTACTTGTTACTTCTAAGATGTGTTCAATTTTTTCCATAAAATAAGGGGTTTTGGGGTTTTGGGGTTTTGGGGTTTTGGGG